AATATATTTACTGAGAAAATGGTGACGTGTGCAATACTTATTTTACCCGCTGTATGTTACTGTTCTTCTTCTTCTATTTTCCAATGTTAATGTTGTYCTTCTTCTATCCACCGAAGTTACTGTTAGTCATCTACTCAAACACCGCCTGACAATGAATGACGGGTAAAAGAATTTATTGCATTTTAATGATAATTCAAAAATTCAAGCCCTCGCCTTCCTTAATGGGCCCATATTTAAGCAGTAAACACATTGTTGCCCCAGCAGCCGAGCAAAACCTTCTTTCAGGTCCTTATTATCAGGCCTTTATGGGCTTTAACATTTTATGGCCGGGGCTAAAGTCTGAACCGATGGAAAACAATTACACAGGCTGTCAGCAGCTGCCGTGCCTGGTTTCACACACACACACACACACACACACACACACTTCAGTGAACAGCACACGATTTTCTACTAAATGTATGTAGAAGAAGTCAAAAATCAATCAGGAGCTGTTGATCACCGTCCACTGGAACGGTAAATCCTCCGTCCCTCATCTGGGTGGGTTTATGCAAAAACAACTGCCAACTGGGAAAAAACACTGGGACAGTGTGTGAAAACCAACAGAACGCAACAATTTACAAATCTCATAAACCCATATTTTAGATTTTATTCACAATAGAACATATTAAACATATTGAAYGTTCAAATAAAGTAATTGCACTATTTTCTAGGGGGAAAAACAACAAAAAAACATTTTTTAAAAGTTGGGGCGTGCAATGTAAAGCTGTAAATACGAATAAGAAACATCTTTGTAGCTAATTCAGTGAACTGGCTACAGYCCAGTAAGGACTGGGTATTAAAAAGATTAGCATTTAGAGAAGCAGAATCTCTTAGARGCAAAAGAAAGCAGAGGTTCACCAGCCTCGTAAAACTGCATCAGAAAATAGTGAAAACAATCAACCTAATCATCTACAAATGCAGGTTAAAGCTCTATCCTGCAARGAACCAAAGCTTATTTAAAATGAAAACGTCTGAAATTTGAGATTCCTTTTGAAAACATGTCCTCTATATAAAAACAGACCAATCAACCTGTTATTGGGGGTTGGCCACTAAATAAGTTAACTAATTTATTTAATTGATGATTAATCCCCTGGAGTCCACAGGAAAATATTAAATAGCGTGTTTAAGAATTAGTCGTATTAAATCGACAAACGTCAAATACTAACCCGATACAATTTTGCCCAACCGTATTGCGCACAGTTCATCTGCCTCTCTGATGGTATGGGGGTGCATTAGTTCATCTAGCATGGGTGGCTCACACATCTGGAAAAGCATCATCAAGCTGGCGAAGTTTTAGATCCAAACTAAATTTCTTCCCAGCTGAGACTTCAGCTAAAACCTCAACCTTTGCTGAACCCTATCTTCTCCTAAAATTACACAACTTATTTCTTTAAATATTTGATGTTTCCTTTGTTTCGTTATGAATAAAATACGACTTTATGAGAATTGCAAATCTCTGTATTAAGTTTTTTTTTGTATRTTTTACACCAAGTCCAAACTTTTCAAAATAAAAATACTTTTTTCCCCCTGAACATTTTATATTTGATTAAGTCTCTTTAGYGTTTGCAGAGACTGGACAAGGTCAACCAAGGAGAAGCCTCAACGTTCTGATTGTTCTGCTTCTTTTCTCCACAAAAAGTCCCCAAAGAAGATGATTCAGACAAAGCCTGCACGCCGTCACGCCTCAGACTCCTCGTTTGGCTCTTAATGAACAGATGCTCTGCAACTTCTCACTCTTCATCAAATGTCTCTTGTTAACTCGCAAGAATGAAGAGGACAAAAACTGAACAGGCAATAATGAAATTCTTCATGACTGCAGAAACGTAACCTGTCAGTCCTAAAAGCCGACGGGTTTGGATGGATTAAAAAAACTGTTTTAAAGCTTCATTGGTAGGAATTATTTTCGTGACACCAGACAGTGAATCAGCACTGGCAACAAGAACAAAAAAAACATTTTGTGTGAAAACAGGGAGCAGAGAAAGTGAAGCGAAAATACAGCGAGCAGAAAAGATGAGAGGCAAAAAAATCTCATTAAGCTGCAGGACATTTTCTGTCATTAAATCAGAGGCGCAACATTTAGCGAGCTGCCAAACAAAGCGGCCCTCGTCTGAGGAACCCCGCACCATGGAAACTCAGACGTCTCTCTCAGACATGGCCTGCCGTCCTCTGACACTCACAGCACAGCTGTGAC